CCGCCCCGGTGCGCCTGCGCGGCGGCGGTGGCTCCACCTCCCCTCCCCTCCCTCCCAGGCCCGGGCCGGGCTCCCTCCGCGTCCTTCCGGCCCCGGGCGCGCAGCCGCGGCGGCGCCTCCCGCATTGGCGGCGGCGGCCTCGTGCGATGGTGACGCCGTAGGGCCGGGGAGGAGGCGGCCGGGCCGGGCGGGCGGCGGCAGCGGCGGCCGCGGGACGGGGGCGGCGGCGGCGGCAGCAGCTCCGCCGGCCGTAGGCAGGTGAGGTGAGGGCGAGAGCCGGGGCAGCCGCGGAACCCGCTCCGCGCCGCGGGGGCTGCGCGGGCCCGGCCCGGCCGCCCCGGAGGGGGCCCGGGGGTCGCCGGCGGGCGAGCACCCGCTCGGGGGTCAGCGGGGGGACCCCGCGGTGTGCGGGGAGCGCGGCGGGATCCCGGCGGGTCGGGGGGGCTGCGGGAGGGCGGCGGCTGCGATGCCCTGGCCCGGCCGTGTCCGAGCCCTGCGGGCGAGTGTGCGGGGCGGGAGGAGCGGAGCCCGCGGGTGGGGACGGGAGTTCGCTCGGGGCGTGGGGGAGAGCTCGGGAATCGCCGTCTGGAGGAGGCTTTGGGCCGAGGGAGCGCTGGTAAGTGGGTCAAGAGCACCGTAAGTGGGTCTTGTTTATACCCTTCCGTGCACTTGTTGCTCGCCAGGGCAGGGAGGTCTGCTGCTGCTGCTGCTCCTGAAATCTTTCTACGGAGACAATAAAAATAATAACGCCTCTGCTGGCACAATATGGGAGCCTCACTGTGCAAACAGAGCAGTCTCTGGCTGTTTTCAAGTGAATATGTGTAAAAACACTGAAACTACCAACGGTAGATAATGCAAATATTCTGTACCTCAGTTTAGATATTCTCAAGTTGTTTGGGTAATCACAATTTGGATATTCTCAAGTGGCAGCTGCATAAACTTTTAAAAAAGTTGAGGTTTATTTTTAAATTTTTTTTTCCTGGGAGAATCAGACGTTCATCTCTTGTTTGCTTAGGATGAACAACAGAGACGTTTAAACATATGGTGATCGCCCAGAAGACAAAGAAGATATGACAGCTGTTGTTCTTACTGGGCTTTTGCAGCAGTGTTTGTGTCTGTTTTAGCCTTACAAGTCAGTTGATTTCATGGCTTTAGTAGTTGTGTGGACATTTGTTTTGAGAAAACCGTTAACATTAAATTATAACTTTTTTTGACGTACAGACTTTGTCACCCTGTGTATTTAAACTGTCATGCACCTATTACATAGCAAAAAAGCTTTTAGATACTACTTCTTGTTTAAGGACACTTTCTGTTCTTTGTGCAGCATTGGAGTTTGTCAGGTGGTTGAATTGTCTGGTGTATCACAAGTGTGTTGCGTATTTTTTAAAATGGACCAGATTTTACTAAACTGGCCAGGCCCTCTGGGCAAACCCTTCTTGGTATAATCTGGTTTTTAAGACTTGAGGTCTTTGAAGTGTAATTTAAACTCTTGCTGTAGTCAGTGCTGGGCAGTATTAAATTTCTGGTTCCATCCTGACTGTGGTCTTCACAGATCTGTTCTGGAAGCCGGTGAAGAGCTGTGCACTGCACAGCCCTCTTTCTCAGCACTGTGGTAAAAATCCTCTGCTTTCAGAGGCCTTTTTGGTAGTACATCAGTGTTGAGGTGCTTGTTTTCTGCAGAACCTTAGTGAGACTGCTACAAATTCGGTGGCAGCTGCTGTAAGAGAGGAAAATATGTTTGTGATCGACAGAAGTAGGTTGTTGTGTCATGAAATTATGGGTGCAGCATGGTCATAAAAACCAACCTGTTTTCCTTGTTATCTTTGGCTGTGAGCTAATATTATTTATATGAGAAAGGAACTGATTGTGTTTTGAGTTTGTTTTTCCTTTTCCCGTAGGGGTACAAGCCAGCTCCGGTTCTGAAGATTTTATGCTGTGGTTCTTGCATTATTATGTGTAAACTTCATCTGTCCCATGGCACTTAATCTTGTACGAAGACTATGAGTGTGTGTTAGTAGGCAACGTTAAAGAAGTTCATTGTTGTGTGGGAAGCGCAATATTAGTTGATAAAATACGGAAACGTTTCCCTTGCCTGAGCTTACAAATAAATATGGCTGTGAATAAGGGTGTTGGCAGCTTTGCAATGAAAACCATGGAGAATAGCTGGTAATGTGAAAAACTGAATCAGAGTTAGTAATGGAGGAGTTAAAAGCTGCGTCCTAGCTCAGTCCAAGTTTTCAAAATGATGCTTTCTGAGTGTAAATCGGGTGTGAAAACATAATCTGGTGTGAAGGACAAGAGTGTATTTTTGGCACACTTCTTAAGCAAAAGCTTTCATGGTGAAAATTCCTTCAGCAGATTCTCATGTATTATTATGTATATTCTCAAACCTAAATACAAAATGTGATGGGTATATGAGCTTAAATGGTATCAGGTCTTCAAGAGAGCCAGACACAAGCAAAAGTGTTTCCCTTACCCCCCACAACCCCAGTTTTTGCACCGATGGAGTTGTGTCCGTGCTGTTGGACTGGTGACATTACTACTAGTTTGCTAAAGTGGCTAGTGAGAGGTGGTTTTGGCAACATGGGTGAGATTCAGACTTGGAGCCTGACTGCTGGATACAGGATTAAAGGGCTGGGGTTGGAAAAGCCTGTGCTTGCTCTAGGCAAGCGTTTCTGCTGATTTGTCAGGAAGGAAAATTAATGGGAATTGGCAGGGCATGTAATGCCAGTGATTTTAATGCTTGGCTCTCTGCTATTTCATGTCTTCAGTTGCATGTTCAAGGAGCTGTGTCAAGCATTCATGTACGAAAAATACTCAATATTAGGCACTGAAAATTTTGCAAGTTTTACAGGTTTCTGGTTGCATAACCGTATTGTCCAAGACACTGCAAAGCAACAAGGCCCACTTTCGTCAGTGGAGATGCTGTTTGTGCATGAGGAAAATCTTGATAAGGAAACTACAGGAGGTCGTTGATGCCATCAGCAATTCAGATCCTTGAATAGTGGTAGTTCTGAAATGGAAATAGCAGTTTTGAGTATTTGTGATTTGAAAGTGTCTGTGTCTGAGTCATTCAGTGAATTTTTTGTCAGAGGATGTTGGTAGATTTGAAAAGACATTGCACAAGATAATGGTAGTGATTATGGAAGAGTATTTGGGACAGTGTTTAGGGGGAAGACTATTAATTCAAACTCTATTGTTTTCTGATAGAGCTTGTTTTAAATGCTATTTCCTTTGTATTGACATGTAAGATGTTGTATTTCAGCTGGTTGTGCTCAATGTGGTGTCTGCCTGCCTCTGCTTTTTAAAGCAATGTGTTTGTCAAGACAAGTTCAGCAGAGAAGCTGGTTTTCAAAAATTCAGAATATGGAGACAAATAAGATACTAGTTCTGATTCTTCAGAAAACCGATTTCTGAAAACATTTTTAACTGTCATTTGTTTATTTGAATATGCTCCTAGTACTGGAACATTTTACTTTTGAAGTAGGATGCTGCAGATCAGTATGTAAAACAGTAAGAAACAGCAGGTGAGTTGTTTTCACTTAGTTCCTGTTGCAGAACTGTGAAGAGAACGACCTCCTGCCTTCTGTGTGGTGAAGTGAGAGATTCAGACTTTTATCATGTAACTGTAAAACTGGACAGCAGCTTAACTTGCCCAGTGATTTTCTGGGAAGTTTGTCTCAATGGCTTGACATAAAAATATAATATTTATCTTAGTCTGGTTTGAAGGTGGACCTCAAGGTTTCCTTTCAGGACAGGGTGACAGACTTTCTGTTTACAGAGGACTGTTCACCACCCTGGGATTTGGTAGCTGGTGTGGTGATAAGCAGACAGCCTCTCAGGAAAGGAGGTGCCACAGCTGCTGCTGCTGCTTGATTTGAGAAGTAGCAGAGAGCTTGATGCGAGTTGGCAACATCAAGGTGCTTAAAAAGTTGTAAATATTATGTGTTTAATTCCATTTTGCATTCTGATTTAACATGATTTTCAATTATAACCTCTTTGGAATTTTCAGGACCTCATGGAAATATCTTTGTATTTCACTATTGTTGCACATAGCCATGATTACTCATGTATTCTGGAGTTGCAGATCTCTGCTGCTCTGTGAGTGGAGGAGAGGGTCTCTTTTTCTGACCAGGCAGGATTCTTTGGACTTCTGTGAACTGTATGTGTGACAGTGCATGTTTTGGGACTTCTCAGGGCTGCCTTGTGGTTAAATTGATTGCAGAAAGGTGTCTTCAAATGCATAGGCAGATATAAGGTTCCCAGGACACGTAATTGTCAATGTGGAAAAATCTGCTCCATGGTTCAGATGGATTTCAGTAGCTGTGAAAATGCTGGGATGTGCCAGCTGCTGTAGCGCTCTGTGAACAGGACTAATTAAGCCCTTGTGAGAACAGAAAATAGTCAGGCACTATTTACAGGAAGAAAGTGTTGGAACAGGCAGAGCTGTAATCATTGGCTCTGAGGTACCTTTAGACAGCAGTAGGCAAGAAAGTAGACAACTGACTTGCAGAATTGGTTGAAGGTCAGGTCTGAATGCTTACAGTGGGTATTGCAGTGTTCTGCCAGCACATCTAAGCACATTACACACTTCTGTTGAGACCTGCTACAGGAAAAGCTACTTCCCTTTTTTGCCTTGTTTTGTTCTCTCTGGCAGTATTTTATCTCAAAGCGATTAACGTTTGTGTTTCTCATGTAATGCTGAAAATAGATATAGATGTCATCAATGTTGCCTGCATTTGAATAAGTCCTGTAAAAGTCTAACTGTCTGCCAAAGTGAATGGTTGTTTTTCCAAGTATATTTTAAGCTTTTTCTTATATCATCTGCATATATTCAAAGACAAGGTGCGACTAGGCTGCCTTACCTTAAGTACGCCAGAACCATTTCTCATATCTGTTTATCCAATTTTCCTCCTTCTCAACCAAATTAAATGCTCTTTTCCCCAGTGTGCATGGCTCCATCTGCTTAGAGGATTGCAGAGGCTGCCATTCCTTGTTTGAAGACAAGATCAGTTGTGCTACTCTGTTTAGGTCTAGAGGATGACACTTCATATGCTACAGATTTCCTTAGGAGATCACTGGGAGTGTTAAGCCTTTCTACAGCTTGTAGGTAAGGGTTCTTTTAGTGGTAGGAAACTTTAGTGGGCTTTTCTCTGCTTTAATGACAGCATTCTGGCAAGGTTCCTGCTTCAGCTCCTTACTGATGGACATGTTTGGCTTGTCAAGTTTGATTTCTCTCAAAATGCTCTCATAAGTGTGTTTTAGTAAACTGGGTGCTTATGGATATTTGAATAAATAGCGTGTTCTGGAGGGAACAAACCATGGGCCTTCTTGCTGTATGAAACATTTTCTTTAGACTTTGTTAAAGGCACTTATCTGTGCTCCTTTGATTTCTTGTGCAAACTACTTGGTGGGTGATACCAGGGTTTGGGAGCTGTAACCATGATAAGGAATTCAAGATCACACTGTCTGTACATTGTTTCTGAGTTTTTGTTAAATGCAGAACTTGTGATGAAAATGGAATAATTAAATTGAGGATAGTAAAAGCTGCCTTGTGAGAGCAACTCTGGGTTCTTAGATTGAATCTGAATGGTAAAATTCCTTTAGCTGGTGGTAAAATTCCATAAGTTAATCTTTAACTCCTGCTTGTACTAGACATATATCCATGTCTCCCAATCTGCAGTGGGAGCTGTTTTAGAAAGCTGTGCAGTGCAGAGATAAGTGTAGCTGAGACTGACTGTGCTCTCAGTCCTGAGAGTACTGGCAAGCTTTAAGCTGCAGGGAAAGGGATTTTAGCACTTGGAAGAAGGAAGAGGATGGCTAGTAGGACGTGGGATGAAGAGCCACTGAACATGCATTTCGGCATCTCTCAGCTGACAGCTTAGGTGTGGTTTTTATTATTAAGAACCCTGCATGGCATTTCCTGGTGGGCTGCTCCTGGGATTTAGTGGTTGCCATTCCCTGGTGTAAACTGAAGGATTTACTTTTTCTGTTTTCTTTCCTAATGTTTTAATTTATGTCTTGGTCTCTGTGACTGGTGGAATTTGTGGGCATGTATTACTTAGACAAATACTAGTGCTGTGGGGATAAGTTAGTGGTGGTGGGATCTGGTACTTTTTGATGTTATGGGATGACACAACCAATTTGCACATGAAGAACAGTGTGCTTTGCAAATTGTGTTAGTTTAAGCAATTATTTGTGTGTCTGTGTATTCCCTAGAATAGCATATGGCATTGCAAGGCTGGTAACAGCAATGTTCTGCTCTTCTCAGTATTAATCCTTTAGGCAAATAATTTTTTGTTTAAATGGAACATGACCGTAGAAAAAAAAGCAAGAGCCTATTCATAATTTTTATTAAAGTATCTATGTGACAAAGTGCCAGCTACTGACCTTCTGCCTGCTGTACCTTCATCGGGGAACAGAATGGGTTGTTTTCTGAGGTGACTGTTCTGAGAGTTGAGAACAGCACAACAAAGTCAACAAAAGCTTTACTTAGTGGTTTTCTGACCTTTACATATTCCAAGCTAAAAGGAGGATGCTGAAAAAGGCTTGTGTCATGGTTATCTTAATGTCCATGCTTAAGTGCAACTGCTCTTTGACTTCCTGCTCTGTGACATTTTAATAATTGGCAACCATATGAATTCTGCAGCATTACAGAAATAGTTCAATAATAGATGTGTGATAAAATTCCTTTTCTTTTTGTGAGCTTCGTTAGTGCAGCAAAGGAAGTTGCTAGGTAGCTTAGACTTGATTTGTAAGATATTTCTCAAGGGGCAATTTTCAAATATGTTTTTGGTAAGGAAGATGATTACTGAATTTAAATAGAAATACTGTATTATTTAAATATAAATATATATACCTGATAATTATGAATTATTCATTTCACTCCTGTGAAGGATATAAAGAAATAGTTTTTGGTGGTGTGTTTATCTGTTCTCAATTTAGATCATCCCCCTGAAACACAGAATGTAATTTGCTAAAGCCTTGTTTTCTTTCTGTTAATATTTTCATGGGTAATCTGGCATTCTTATACCACCTAGGACTGTAAAGAAAGAAGATCAGTAGTAAAATGTTAAAACTTTCTGGATTACAAATATTCAGCGTTTCATTCAGTAGGAAGTGACCTGTTGCTAAAATAATTGGAGATGTGTATAGGTTTTAGCTACTGTGTCTGTAAAACTCTTTCAGTTGGCCTTAAACCCATGCTCTGGAGTTCAGAAGTGGGATGTTGCCTCTATTCTGCCTCGAGGGAAAACTCAGTTCTAAGTTAAGCTAATCCTTGATAGAAGCAAGAGAAGCTTGACCAAGTTTCACTTGCATAAATGTTTCTGTCCAAAACATCAAACTGGCGCGTGATGCTGTTGAAAATGCCAGTTGTGTCAACTGATTTGGAAGGGCTCCAGTAATGGGGTCAGTGTAGGGAAAGGGAGATGGTACTGAAAAATCTCGAAGACTCAAATGAGGTCAGGGTGGATGTAACAGTACAGCTCTGCATGGCTGTGGGTAACCAGGGGCTGCTTTGGGTTTGGAGCAGCAGAGTTTTAAGATGTTATTGGGAAGGTGGTACAAGATGTTCTCAGATAGACGTTAGATTTTCGTTCCTCTGTGTAAGCCCTTTCCAGCTGACTTTTTCTGTGTCGGTTAACTGGATCAAACAACCCCTTGTTACACATCACAGTAAAGTCATTGTGAGAAACAAAGCCTCATTACAGAACCCATGACTGTTTTCCTCTGAAAACTCATGTCTTGGCTCTGTTTCAATAGTTCATTATTATGTAAGTGCCTGAGGGCTTATCTGCCTGCAAGACTCACGAGTGTTTTCTGGAGGCTAAGGTCATCCTTGAAAAGGTTCCGTTCCACATTCCTGTTCTTTTAGCAGTAAGCATGATGTGTCCAGTAGTTCTTGGTACCACCACCTGAAATCTTACTGCATTTTGAGAGAATTCATCCTGTGTAGTCATTAAAAGTCTGTTGAAACTTGGTGCTTCCTTCTTGGAGATCCTGTTTTGAGGTAACAGATAATTTGAATGCTTCCTCATTTCAAGCTAAAGAGACTTGTGAATTGGACAGTAATCGAAGTAATGTCTTTGTAATAAATGAACAGTTTACAAGCATATTATTTATTACAACATTCAAAGTCACAGGTAATAGTGGTGGTATTTGGGGTTGACCAAAGCATAGTTGCATAATTCCTGTCATAGAATGACATTTAGTCACACTAATGATGGAGCAGTTGAGAATTACTGGCACTTAAAATTAATTACCAGGCAAACATAAAAAGGAAAGGTGGAGGATGTGCTCATTACTGCTGCTTCCATTGGAGACTGCTGCTTCAGGGGATGTGACAGAGGTAATAGAGCTGTACCAGTATATTCTGCTGATGGTGATCCAATTGCTAAGCAAGAATGACGGATGTGTTTGTTAGAACTGCTTCTCTCCAGTGATTGTCCAACTGCCTTTATTCATCTTTGAACTTTTGAATTGGCTGTACTGAAAATCCTGGATCATCTGGTAAGTTGTCTAGGGAATTGTTTACATTGGGAAGCAAGTGGTCTGTTAGTGAAAACCAGTTCTACTTTGTGTTGGAAGTGTTGAATAAGGAAGCCATACAACTGGAAGATTTTAAACTGTTGGGAATAACACTTGGTGTAGAAGTATTAGCAGCACTTACTGCACGTAATGTAGTGTGTGTAGTGTTTGAGCCAGATTTTCTGCCTTGTGTACTACTTGCAGTATGGATTAAGTAGGTTGTATAACGTACAAGCCTTCCCTCCTCCACTGGAGTGCAGTGAATGCCAGTTTGAAGCTGTCATGCTAGTGCTGTGTGCTTTACAACTCCAGTGACACAGGATCCCAAGATAAACTCAGCCTTCATTTAGTGAAATTTTTAGGCTTTAACAGCATGCTGTGAAGTGAGGCAGAGAAAATGGCAATGGATTACAGGAAAAGTCTTCTGCATTCCTGTTTTCATGCTGTAAAATTTATGTCTTAGAGGATCTCTCCCAAGCTCTGATTTCAAACTCCCGTGTGGACCAAAAGCAACATTTTATGTGGCTTGACAAAGGTCCCTTTTCACTAACTTTAAGTGACCTGAGGCAGATTAACATGCAGATTAATGTATTTGACAGTAATAAATCAGCTTTAACAACTACTGAGGCAGAGGTTTGTTTGGCAGAGGGTTTGGTTAAGATATGGTATCTGGAGTTTCACTGAACATTTACAGAGGATGATATCTGAGACGGTTGAAAAATTTCTTGCTTTGTTAGGTTTTGTACTGATGCATCTTTATGCAATTTAGCTGTAACTATGTGGAGTTTTATTTAAGTCAAGGGTGTTCTCTTGGTGAGCAAGCCTATAAAAATGGAAGGATTCTAGTTTAAATGGAATGCATGCATTTTGTCATCCACTGTAAATGTTTACAAGCTGCTGTATAGGACACATACTCTAAGGAGTTTTGTTCCATCTCTGCATAAATTTATTACCTAATTTCAAGTTTACTTGGAGGAATAGCTTTCATGTTGATCACACATCTTTCTTTTAGGAATCTTGGCTTGTAACCTTCCCAAGCTTGAATACAAACATCAAGAACCAGTGATAAATTTGAGATGAATGAAACTGCTCTGTGCTTCCTCATAGGTAGCACTACTGTTTATGAGAGAGCAGTTACAAATTACTGGTAGGAATACTTGGTGTTTTTTTGGGGAATATTATTTTAGTGGTTAAGATAACTGCTATGTGTTACTCCACGGTGAAGGTACAAGATCTGTTCATTTAATTGTTCTGTTGTGTTTCTCAGTACTGAGGCTTACAAGAAATTCGTACATTTGTGAAATGACGTGACAGTGTGACCAGCTTGGCTTCCAAGTTGGAGTTCATAGTTCAGGTGAGGGCTGGTTATGTGCAGGAGAATATAAACCAGTCAGAGACAGGACTTAAATCATTCTTTTCCCCTTCAGGAGGGAAACTGTAGCAGTGCATCAAGTAGTTGGTAGGATTGTTGTTTTGAAAATTTTTTATGTGGGTTTTTTGTGTATGGGGTTTTTTTGGTTTGTTTTTTTTTAGATTTTCTTCCCATTTTTTAAAAAATCTTTGCTCTTACTGTTCCGATGT